CTGGGGCTTTCAATGTTTACTTGCTGGCATTGGTAACAGCCCCACTTTGACCCATAAGGGTAAGGGGAAGAGCTTAAAATGTCCCTTTTGCAGGGACTACTGACAACCTGCCCTACAGCTACTGTGGTTTTCTATAAAATACTTCAAAGAGAGACAGACATCAGTATTTCCCAAACTCCAATCTTCACAGCAGCCCCCTCCAAGCTCAGAACCAAGTTCAGGAGGACACCAACACAGTGATGGGAAAATCCTCAAGGAAGCTTGTGTATCTTGAGCAACCCATTGCTCATCAGGCCATATGGCCACTCTGACAGACTCCCTGTTGCTGGATGAGCAGTGTCCCCACTTCAGAGCTGTCAATCCCTTTCCTGAGCCACAGGACTGACTGCTAGTCCTTTAAGCCCCAGATTCCTGGGCAAAGAAGGGAAGAAGAGCAGCCTAGCTCCAAGGGATCAGTCACTGCAGCAGTAGCACAAATGCCTGTGAAGGCTTCACCTTTGTATACTCCTGCAAGGCAGAAAGCACAGCAATCTGCTGCAGAGCCGCTAGCCCTTTTTCATCTCTTCACTCCTCTGCTGCTGTTGTTTGAGAGCTCAGCAAAAATCCAACCCACAAATAACAGCCTAGCTGCTAATGATGGGGTAGAGCTAAGTGTGTTTATCCCTTGCTGTCCTGGTGCAACAGAAACTCCTGCGAGGGGTGACCTGAGGAGGTCAAGTGAGTAGGATCCTGTGACCCTTTACTGAGGTACTTGCCAAACTAATAACCAATTTCAGTGGTGGTGCCATGATAAGATCTTGAATGAAGAGCAAGAGGAGGAGCTGTCTGTAGAGCCAAGCCAAACACCATGGGCACAGCCCCCAGGAGAAGGGGCATCAGATCTTGTGCTTGGCTGATTTTTTTAAATAGGCAGTTCTGAATAAACCTCTCTGATTTTTCACAGCCAATGCTACTACCTAATACTAAAGAGTCATCCATCCTGAGAACCTTTTCTTGGTTAGTCTGTGGAAGGCATGAGCCAGGGCAGGGGAGCTCTCAGAGCCTCGGCCAGTTCTGCAGCAAGGCTGTAACCCAGAGCATGATGCTACCAGAAGCTCAGTTCCTGTAGCATGAGAGGAACAGGGGTAGGAGGATGGTGACCAGCCCATTGCTCCCAGAGAACAGGACTGGAGGGTACCAGTCTGTCTCACCAAGAGGAAGGACATGGAAACAACAACAGAGAGCAAACAAGGAGAGGAGGAAATCACAGGAGAAAATGAAAGGGAATGACTAGGGCAGGCATCCAAACAGGGCACAGGTAAGGAAAAGAACGGGCAGTTTGGGAATGCCAACAGCACCATTATGAAGGAAGAAGTACAGATAGATGGACAGCAGACCTGGTCACCCAGAGCAAAGGACAACAGAAGTCCCTTGCAGTAGTCAGTTCTGTATTCCTGCACACATACTTCAGCCTGTATTTCCACTGCAAGGCTCTCACATACACTCTGGAATGGGTTTCACCACATGTAAACTGAAAAATATACAAACAGCAGCATTTTTAACATGGGAACAAGCCATGTTTTGAAAACCTGGGGTGGCAATACTGCCTTTGCTGTATGGTTTGCAGAGCCAAAGAGAAGAAGGCTGTGTGGTAGAGGAAGATTCTGAACAGCTGCGAAAAAGTCTAACATACTTTTTCTTCTCTGTGACAAAACTAACAAAATCATCATAGATAGGTTTCCTACAAGCATTTTTCAGGTTTTTTTTGGAGGGGGGAGAAAAGCTCCCAACATACTGTATTCATTTTGAAATAATGAAAGAAATTACACTTTTCAAAAGGGTTTTTAAAGACTGTTTTAATGTCAAAAAAACCAACAAACAACTCCTTTGTCATCTTCCCTCTGTCTCAAAAGCCTTGTGAAAAATATTTTTCTCCCTATATTATTGATGGTCTCTTCTCCACAATTAGCATTTTTATTATGCAGAAAAAAGTGCTTTACTATAATTTCATTCAATGGCTGCAAAAAGGTAACTTATGCCCAACTAAAATAGTAAAAATGGAAAATGAAATTATATTTTTTCAATGGAGGTAAACTTTGAAACAGAAATTAGGAAAATGTAACTTCAGTGACTCTTGTGCCCATGGGGAATGACCTATATCTCTGGTAACCCCTGAAAATGTAAAGGTAATAATATGACTGGGATCACTGTGATTCTGGGAACTTCAGAAATCAGAATTTTCCAAATTATGAATCCAAATGTCACTCCCAAAACAGATTTAAATTGTGTTCCTTTTGCTTCTGACCTCTAAGTGTTGCTGAACAACCAAGATAGCTATGAAATGACCTTATAATAAAACAAAAAAAGACACTCAAAAAACCACAAAGAACTCTTATGACTGGGATCACTGTGATTCTGGGAACTTCAGAAATCAGAATTTTCCAAATTATGAATCCAAATGTCACTCCCAAAACAGATTTAAATTGTGTTCCTTTTGCTTCTGACCTCTAAGTGTTGCTGAACAACCAAGATAGCTATGAAATGACCTTATAATAAAACAAAAAAAGACACTCAAAAAACCACAAAGAACTCTTCTCTTTACAAAGCAAAGCAATCCCTCACTCCAAGATCACCACACAGTCACTGGCCTCTGGATGGCAGTCTAGAAGAACATCATGCATCATGCCAAGTCAGGCTGAACTTTCATGTGTACCCAACACTAAACCAAATCCATTGTCTGCTGTCAGCACAGCTGGACAGCAGTGACCTTGAACCCTCTGGAGTGGGTTGAGCAGAGCTGTGGGCTTGCTGGGCTGCTGGGCTGCTCCAGCTTTGCACAGCCAGAGCTCCAAGGTCTCCATGCTGTTGGTCACTCACAGTACTACTGACTTGATCTTCCCACTCTTCAGCCACAAAGTAAGTGTATGCACGTGTGCACTCATATATATATATACACATATATATATACACACACACACATATATATACATATGCACACACATATATATCTGGGTGTATATACACTCACATATACGAATATGTACATACAGAATATTTATACACATCCCCTCACCAAAAGTCTAACTTAGAAGGAGTCAATTCTCCACTGAGAGACGGCTACTAGAAAAGTTACCTAAACAATAAATAATAACCTTGCTCCTTTCTGTGCTAGCTTTCCCCATGAAATACAGGCCTGTGATGTCCTTTTCCCCCCCCCAAACAGCAGAAGGATGTCTAGTCATTCTCTTGTTTCACTTTCAATATTCTTCAGCCTTAGTTAATTTCACAGGCCAGGGAACAGAGATGATTCTATGATTCCACTAAATCTGGCTCAATAGGATTCTTTCCACCCTATTTCCCAGATGTACATTTGATTTTTGTAATGTTCTCCCTGATACAATAATCCTTCAGCTCACTCTGTTTTACATTGCCTCTTTTCAGCCCCTTGTCCTCCCCACAGCAGAGCTGGAAGGCAAGGAACTGAGGATCCCTGTTTGGAGCCAGTCCCCTGCATGTTTCTTGACCACGTGGGCTAACAGAGGCTCTGTTGTGCTCTGCACTGATAGAAATATCCCGGCCAAGGGAGTGAAAGGCAGTGGATAGATTCGTATTATACAATGTTAGTGCTATCAAAATACAGCTGGACCTAAAGAGCCTATTCAGAAGCTCTAGATCGTGCTTAAAAAGTAAATAAGGTGTTTCAAGCACAGCTGCCTTGAAAATGCAGCTTACTGAAACAGTTAGGACCATTTTACAAAGTAGTGTAAGACGCTGGGTTTGTTCTCTTAGTTTCTTTATGTGCCCAAAGAAAAATGGATGAGATTAAACATTAAATACTGAAGCAGCATGTTTGGTTAATAACTAGACAAATTCCCTAACAGTGTTTTGCCAAAAGCCAGAGACATACAACTCATCTGCCCTAGGTGTTACAAATTAGGGCTACTTTTAAAGTCTGTTATTAGGTGTGAAAGTCACCCAGGCAAACAAGCCCAGCACGAGGGTCCCTGCACCACTCATACCCCAGAAAAGCACCTTATGGTCTCTACTGCCCTAACTCTGTAACCTCTTCCCCTGAGGGCAAAGGTGATGAAATGTGTAGAGTCTGGCCACAGGGGAGAGAAAGATACTGTCATCTCTGCTTAGTCTTCATGTTTCAAAATGCCATCGCAGAAAGCCAAACCTGAAGGTGTCACAGTCCAGAACAGCTGCTCAGGGAGTTGTCCCCTCAGAATAACAAAATACACATGACCATAACGGTGTCAGGCTCTCATGGGGAAACTATGAAAGCTCAGAACTAAGCTATTGCCAGTGTCCTAGGGCCAGTACACAGACACCTTTGTGGGTCTAAAAGGCACAAAATCCCTGCTTCCTCCCAGGAGGAATCTATTCCTGACCTATTTTTGGCCAATAAACTTCATCAAGGCAGCAGACACTCTTTGCCTATGTACAAGATATGACTGAGAAATGTGTCTGTACAGGTTCAACAGCAACGTTGTTCTCCATTAACCTTGCTATGATTTGCTTTCTTCATCACCTGCACAGTTCATGATTTCTCTCATTAATCACTTAACTCCATTATTAAACCTGAGAAACATTTTTATGAAGTTGGATAGAAAATATAATTGATGTTGTAGAACAACCACTGCATATTCAATTCAAAACAAGCAGAACCCACAAAGAACCTGTCCTTTGACTTCAACACATTTGTTCAGGGGGAAAAAGGCTAAGAATTTATGACTTGAAACAGTTCTCATATACTATTGTGAACAGCTCCTTCCTCAGTCACTTGAAATTATCACAGTGGGGACATTGCTGTTGACCTTCTGGGACAATACTATTAAATAGATGCCAAAACAAACATTTTAGCTCATTTTTAAATCTCTGTTTCTTGTGATAAAGACTTAGCTTTAGGGTAATGTGAAAAGAGATGAGCCTACAGCAAAAGGGGTGGTTGGGAGGGAAGAGCATTGCTGCTGCTCTTAGCAGAGGAATGGGATGACAGTGCATTTGTGACACCTTACCTTATCCCCTGGCTGTGGTCTCATAAGAGAGACTTGATCGTAGCCTCGTCGGACCAAAGCCCACAGTGCGTCAAGTTTGCCCTGGAGTAAAAAAAAATTAAAAAAATAAAAAAAAAGACAAGATATGATCAAGAAATTTGGTGAAAACAGCATGAGATTAAAATACAGGTGAGTTGACAGAGCCTTTCTGTATTAAACTGCCTGCACACACCCTTCTCCTCTGTGCACTGCTTATATGGGCAACCAGAAGAGAGACCTCAGTGGGGTAATGTGCACCCAACATGCAGTAGGCTAAATTCTGTCTGCTCAAAACTCGCTGAGGATAACACCTGTTTAATGTGAACAATTCCTTCAAGAGGCACAATTAGACAGGTGTTACAATAAGGTGTTAATGTTACTTGAGGCGTTACAAAAGGCAGAACAAAAGTCCTGTACTGATGGGAAGAGAGCTGGAGCATGGATAATCACCCACAAGACTACCTACCTAGGCAGGCTTTAAAATTTACAGACACGTTTTAGACAATAAATTCAAGCACTGTTAAACTGATCTAATGAGTATGGTGGGGAGAGGGGAACTTATCCCACAAAGCAATGATTTAACACATGGTCACAGATTTTGGGATAAGCAAAATATGCTGCTCCCCTGGCTGTGGTAGCTCTCCAGCTTTCTTCTCTGTAAGTGGAGATAATGGCTATTCCCTGCCTCAAGGGTTGTGTGAGGATACATACATTAAAAGACATTGAGATGCCTGATACTATAATGACACAGGAGAAACAGGGATGAAAGTGTGGAGAGACTGAGTGACTTGCCCAAAAATCAAGTATTACGTCTTGTGGTTGAACTAGAGGGAAACAGAGCTGGATCCCAACCCAAGGCCTTAGCCACAATTCAGTCAAAGCAAGGACAGGGCACTTTAACTGATCCTCTTTGTATGCTGCCTTAAGATGGCACAAAAAAGCATCTGCCTTGCCTATGAGTCAACTGATCTGCTGTTGCAACCCAGGCTGTGCGAAAGTACCTGAAAAGATGGTGTGAGCTGAGAAAATCAAGATCTCTGCTCATGCTCTCCACTCTTCCTTCAAAAACTATGGCAACACCATGCCAGGCGAAATGCATGTTCCAAAAAACAAGCAAAGGTGAGGGTTAATGGCCACTTTTTAAAATAGGCTCTTTTGGCTCTGCTGTAAGTGGTAGTGGGAGGTAGTAACATGACAAAAGAGACTTGGTAAAACCGAGTGTCAGACATATTACCTTGATTGGAGTGTACCATTTCCGCTGGGAAGGTGGTTTTCTTACATGAGGCTTTTTTGGCTTGGGTTCCCATGGCTCATACTCCTGTTCTGGCAATTTAATAATAGCATTTTTGGGTTTCTCCAATTTTGCTCCTTCCTCTGTTGACCCTTTGTCTCCCCATCGCACCTGGCATCAGGAAAGTGCACTGTGAGTAGAGACACTTGAGCAGTCCTCACCAGCAGGTGGTTTTCAGACATAAATCTAGCTCCCATCAGATGTTCCAGCGCCACCAGAAATGAAGTCAAGTTTATGAAAGCACCCAACTTCCACCATAACTAGAAATACACATTAAGAGTAAAACAGTCTCTCCCAAAAGCTGCTTGAACTACTAGACTTTGCACCTTCGAGTAATCTGGGGCAGATGAGAATCATTAAAGTTGGAAAGACTCCAACCATTAACCCAGCACCATCATGTATGCCAATAAACCACATCATCAAGTGCCACATCCACATAGCTTCTGAACCACTTCCAGGGATGGTGATTCCACCACTTTACTGGACAGCCTCTTCCAATTACTGATCATCCCTTTCAGTGAAGAAATTTTTCCTAATATCTAATCTAAACTCCCCCTGGAGCAACTTGAGGCCATTTCCTTTAGTCTTGTCACTTATTACCTGGGAGAAGATCCTGACCCTGGCCTTGCTGTATCATAGGTGAGTGACAAACCACTGACTTCGTGGAGTGTACATGTTATGTACATATGCAGGACACCACAAGGCAAATTTCTTTCACAATAACAGTTCATTTAGACTTCAAGACTGGTTTGTGCATGAATTGGATTGGATTCATTTGCCAATTTCAACACAGGTCTGTTTTCATGCACTAGGAATTAATGCTTAACTGGAAAAAAAACAAACCCAAAAGAAAATAAGAGGAAACAGTAAGAAAAATCACTGGTTTAAATTCCCCAAACGAACTGCTTTCAGCCAGCCAGGCACAGTGTAGATAGCACCCTGAAATATTTAAAACCAGGAACTCTGCCTGAATTTTCTCTGACAAGAGAACTGGATGCAATTACACCAAAGGGTCTGATTCAGTAAATTAAAATTTCTTTCAGTGTTTATCCCATTTCTTGACCTGAAAATCTCTTCTGGCTCACAATGCTAGATTCATTTAATTATTCATGCAAATGATAGCAGCTTGGTGGCTGTTACTTGGACAGCAGGTGCAAATCAGGTGGACAAGCCCTGATTAAATCAGTCTGTAGTCCATCAAGGTAGCTCTTCAAAAATCACATAAAAGCATAGTGGTAAAATTATTAACTGAATGTGCTGAGGTTTACAGCAGTAAAGCATAAGCGAAATACCTCCATCCTCTTAATCCCACCAACACCTCGACCTCCATAATAAGATGCATCCACAGTTGGCCACTTTTTCTTTGGCAACCCATCTTCATCATCTGAGTCCTATGGGAAAGACATTGGGAGATATTACTGCTCTTCTCACATAAACAGCATAAACTATGGAAAACAACTGAACATCCTATGGTCCAACCTTTGGATGTATCTAGCTTTGCATGTTATGCTTACTTGCTGACAGAAAACAAAAAAAGTCTCGTGTTTCTGCAGCTGCAATTTAACTAGGGAAGCCAAAGAGGATTCCCTATTCCTCACTCCAGGCAGCTTTTATTTAGTCAAATACACACTGAGCTCCAAAATCCTGACTGACTTGTAAGGGAAGGCAAAGCGCAGATGAATCGTACACTTGACACTATGCTGTGCAGAAAATATGGCAATCAGTCAGCCCAAAGGAATCATTTATTAAATGTACTTTTAGAACTTAATGACACCTAACAGGGGAAAAAAGCTACCACTGAGAGTTTCCTGATGTGTATCAGACCCTTTTCTCATGGCAGCTGTAACAAGCTATTCTACACTGATTATTTGTGGGGTCTGGCTCAAGCTGAACAGTTTGCAACCAGGATTCACATAGGAGCATCTCCAAACTGTGAGGAAGCTCAGATCCAGAGTTTTTCACCTGCAATTATTTTTCTGGAACATGCAAGAGTCTGAATCAGTAATTTACTTCAGCTTCATGTTTCTGGTTCAACCACACTGGGAACACATGTTTCTGGTTCAACCACACTGGGAACACATCTCCAGCTCCATCATCATGAGCAGATAGAAGTCAGTGCGATTTCTCAGACTCCCTATTACTACACTAAGTCAAGGCACCTGAAATCAACACCATGACACTCTCCAAGTACATGCATAAATGAGGAAAGGGCCCAACAAGCCTCCTAAAATATTATCTTCATTCCTCACACTCTAATAAAGACAAATAACTATACCTCATGCTGACATGCAGAAGTGTGTGCTGCTCTTGGACTGGCCATGCACAGTGCTCTCTGCTAATTTTCTTCAGTACAAGTATGTTTCTAGAAGCACTACCTGGACTTAGCTTTTAATTAAAAAAATAAAATCAAGTGAAATCCAAATACTATAGATGGACATAAACTACTTCTTAAAAATATGCTTTAATTTTTGTTTGTTCATATTTAGCTCTTAGGTTATGCCTTGGAGAAAGGTTATTCAGTGACATGTGCCCTCTCAGCTATGGTTCTAAGTGTCAGTTCCTCAAAAAAATTCTTTAGTATGGCCAGGCAAGACTAGAGTTGACATTTCCATTAATTAGTAAGGGGAGCTTGGGGTTTTGCTTAATTTTTTGTTGTTATTTTGTTTTATCCTAAATGAGGGAAATAAATATACAAGGAAGGTGTTGTGGTTTGGTGTTGGGTTTTGTTGCTGTTTCAGTTAGGGGTTTTTTTAAGAGTACAAATACACAAATTTTATTCCATTTCATACCACATCTAAACCAGTACCCAGTGAACTACATCAGCATTTTTAAATTCAATTATATTTGATGCCATTGTAAACCTAAGTACTACACAACATACTCTGACTCTTCCATGGGATGTAACACAGATTTCAAGTGTTCATGTCTAACAGCTCTCACTGCTGGCAAGCCTGACACTAGCAGGACACAGTTAATAGTAATATTTTTCTAGCTGATAAAGGATTTATTCCAAATATCCCCTACACTGAACACAGAGCAAAGCAACATTAACAGCTACCACATACATTTTGAAAAGTAGTGGAAATCTAATGCTTGCAGTTTAGAAAAAGTTTTGCAGAACTATACTCCATTTAATAGCAGCAGCAGCTAAAGGGCAGGTCACAATGCTCAGGGAGGCTAGTGGTAAGTGCACTGAAACAACAATCCATACTGGATAAAGACAAGGCCAAGTAAAGAGATGGATAACATCTGTATTGTGTTATTCCTGGAGGCTTACATCAGTTCAGTCTCTGTGATTGCATTTAAAATCTCTGCTGATGAGAATAATTGCAAAGCATCTGGGAACCCTGCTGCAGGGGTGTGATGCTCTCTGAAGCCTCCTTCAAACACAGCACGGCAGCATTTCCATGCTTTGTGATAGCACTGATCACACTAAAACCAGCATGACTTTCGGTGTGTATCCTAAAGTTCAATTTTCACAGTGCTGCTGCTCAGGACAAGCAAGAGGATCACATACACACTAATGGTGGCCTCTAGCAACCTCAAAACAGCAGCTGTGGTTGCCTCCTTATATCCATGCCAAGTTACAGCAAGTTAGCAGCAAACTGTATGCACCCCTTGTGGGTTAGGCAAGTATTTTTCCATCATTTAACTAGGCCTAGGAAAGAAATAAAGGTGGCATTAGTTTTCTCTGGAGGTACTTTTTTCTAACTACTATTATTTTCATTACATTAGCATGGTGAAACTAAGTTGAGATCAGGGTCAGTGAGTTACTGTCCTCAAAAGAGCTAAATACAACCCTGCCTCAAGCAGCTCCTAACCTAAATGGAGAAAGGCTAAATGTCCTCCCGAAGGTCACTCTGCAGAAGAGTCACAGCCAGGGCAGGCTTTTGCCTCCCTCTCCAGTAGCAAAGCCACAAGAATGTGGCTTTTGCTGTCCTTTCTCCCAGCTGCCAGACTGTTCCCTACTGTCAATCTGGACTAAACTCCTGCTGAGAACAACAGCAGCTTTACTGGAGGAGGGACAGCTGTCAGCACAGCTTGAGATGCAAAGGTTTGCTTACACACCTGTTAGATACACAGCAGAAGGAACAAAATACCATAGGAACTGTTGGTCTGTGGACTACTGAGTTATGCAACTATTTTCTCTCTGGATGGAAGCAATCTTGCTGTATGTATATAAAGAGGCCAGAAGTCAGAAATAACTGTCCTGATCTAGAGGACTTCCTCTCACAGACCTTCAAGGTGTCATTAAGACTCCTACAGGGCTGACATTCCTGGGCAGCACAATACACTACAGTGGCTGGAGACAGTGCAACAGCTCAAAAATAGCACACTTACAGGCACTGGAGGTGGTGGTGGTGGTGGCTCCTTGATCACCTGGAATATATAAATGATGCGAGAAATCTGAGACAGTGGTAGGGTTCATCCATCTCAATGCCATGTCCTCTCTGCTTTTTTTCTTATATCACAGAGGAGCTGCCCTGCTTCATTGCCCCACATTGAATCCTCTCACTAAGCCCCATTGCTTTCAGTGGGCATAAAATAAATCCAGATGAGATGCTAAATCCATACCACTGAACTATCTGGTTAGCCAAAAAGTGCTCTAGTAAGTAAACCATAGTACTGCTCCATATTCTGGTAGTTCTGCACAAAAGAATACCACACAATTACCAAGTTGGTGCAAAGATATTAACACATAATCTCTGAATAGGTTTCTAAAAATCCTGACCAACAACCCCCCCCCCCCAAAACCCCCTAATTCTTCCCTTTAGAAAGGACCATAACAGCTTATGCACACATTAGTAAATCAAATCTATTACACTTTTCCGCTCCAGGTTTCAAAGATTGTCTGAAGGAGACTTGAGCCACATTCACAAGCTCACTTGAACTTCTCATTCAGTGTAAAAATCACATAGGCCTTTAAACAATCAAAAACCCAGGCTAGAGTGACTTCAACAAGCACTTTAAACAATTTGTTGAATCAGGGCTTTACAAATGGGACAGCATTTTTCTGAAGCAAAGTTAACCACCCACTCCAACACTCTCTCTGTGTTTCTTGCAGAGAATAGATGAGAACAAGCCAATAAAGTAAAAAAATACTTACCACTGTGCAGCAAAGGGGCCAAAACCACCACAGAAGAGCCAGAGCCAGTAGCAGAAAGAGAATCAGGAGAGCAATGAAAAGGATGGTCCCAGTCAGCTGCAAACAAGATGATTACTTCTGAGTTATCTGTTTATGTCTCAAAGGAGCCACGAGCCTTGAAGTTACACATTTAGAGACAGTTTTCCCTCATTGCAAGGTCTCAAGTAGATTATGCTGTCAATCACTATCGTAATTAGGGTCACATCAGTATTTGATGTGATAAATCTGTATTTGAAGTCATGATTCAGAGAAGTATCTCCTGTTTGTGGTATGTATATGTATAATTTATGCATGAATTTCTGGTATGTTTATAGCCCACTGGATTCAAGAGTGTTAAACTTATATACAACCTATTCTGTTCTAAGAGGTCCCTTAATACTGAGCAGCATTGCAAACTACATGACCACAGACTCTCAGGTGTGCAGAGTAACTTTTCATCACTAGAGATGCAGAACAAGCAAATGCTGACATTCAGATAATTGGAAATATTGGAGCTATGACCTTATGGGTAACTGTTTGCATGTCAGTACCACAAAACACAGCACAACTTACTTGCTCAGCCTCATCAGCTCCCAAACCTGCCTGTATTGCCTATTGACTCACACTGCACACAAAACCCCAGCCTGAGTGGTTATGCAGACTAGTCATAAATGCTGTTGGTTCCTGGTATGCCTCTTAGGGATGGTTTAACTATTTTTAATGATATGCTGTAACCATTATCTTAAGTGTTTCTGATTCTTAGATTCCATTGATCTCTACACAGAACAATGAGACTCTGGGGATAGATAGCTATGGGTCTACCTCCATAATGAAGTTAAATTTTCTTTAAAACTACTAGAAACAAAATAATTTCAAGTGTTAACACTTTAAATTAGCTTTTCAGAGCAGTTAGGCAACCAAAGAGAATCACAGCTCTGATTTTTCTGTGTAAATCTTGATGGACCCTTTGCACTTGGAGCACTTCATGTCAGTGTGTTCAGAAGAGGTATTAACTCTGTATTGCTCTGATCACTACAGGAATGAGGTTTTCCTATGCTGCTTGGGTCCTGCAGAACATACAAAACACATGGCTTCTGGAAAGTAAACCTTTGTTGCAAATGGGCAGTGGCATGCTGGGGCATGTTCTATCCTTGGACTGTACTGGGTTATGGAATGATGTTAAGATTAGTTGTGGTGCTCCAGCTATTTCTTTTATACTGGGAAAAGAAATCTCTTCAATGGTAGATATTTTGAATTTGAGAAGGGGTTCAATTCACCAGCAACAGGGCTATCAAAAACAGACAAAACTTGGCAGCAAACTAGAGGAGAACCTGGAACTAGGAAGAGCTTGAAGAAAGGTCTGTGAATCAGGCTGGGGGAATAGGAGCTGGCTAGAGAGGAAGCCAGAGGATTTTCAAAGAAGGATAGGTGAGAGGATAAATAGAATGTAAGCAAATCCAAAAGAAGATTTATGGATGATAAAGTCCATGAGATTTAACTTATTGCATCTTGCTGAATTACTTGCTGAATTCACATGATACCAGAAACCAGTGCTTAGTCCCTTCCTTCCACAGGCATTCCCTTCACTGCTCTAAGTGCGTTTGTTTTTCCCCTCAGATAATGAAAAGGCTGAGGGTAGAAAAGAAAGTACCAGCTGATAAGAGCTTTGGAAAGTCTGGGTAAGATTCTGAGGGACTGACTTGGATTCTTTCTCAGGCCAAATCCTAGAGCTGTCAGGACTGACATTCAGTAAGGGACTAACACAAACACAGCTCCTGCTCCATGCTTTTAGGCAGGTAACCCAGTATCCCATATCTGTGTCACACATCATCATCCCTCCACTCTTTTGAGGCTTTTTGTTATAGATGCAACAAACTGACCTATTTTGGGGTAAGTCATTTAGCTCACCTTCCATCAGTCAGGGAGCAGCTGGAGGGCTGTGACATGTGCCAGATTCCCTGCTCAAAGTCCTGTTAGAGGACATGGTACCCAGCTGCAGTTCAGTGCTACAGTCCCCCTTCTCTGGCCCTCCTATGGTCCCATGAAGCACTAACACACCTAGAAAGCAGATACTCGAAGAGGCATGAATTCATAGTGAAGTCAGTTTGCTGAGGAAAGGGTGAGTAAAAATCAAGACTAATTTTAGGTATTGCTGCACTCCTTAAAAACAAATCCAAGCATAGTACCAGTGCTGCACCACTGCTACTATTACTCCAAACACACATTACCTCCTTGTTTTGTAGCCTTTGTTCCCAGGCATCATTTTTCCCATGCTAACTGCACATATAAATCACTGAGACATTTGCCAGCAGCAGCCCAGGAGCTGCTGGCAGCAAGAAGCTAAAGAGTCTTCTTTTAATGATTTTAATTATACAAAGCATCATAGTGAAGCTGGAATTTGAAAAGAAAATCACAGACTTCATGCAGCTGAACAGAAATAAGCACAGGGACCACACAGAGGCTTTAGGAGTTAAGTGAAGATACTTACTGGGCAGAAAGGACAGAAGGACCAGCTGGGGAGGAGAGCTGAGCAGGCCAGCTGACTGCCACCCACAGAAAAGGAAACAGGAGAGGAAAGGAAGTGGAGGGAGTCTCTAAAATGAGGAGTGAAAATGCATGAAATTAAGACAAAGTTGGAAACTGAACTGCCAACCTCCCTACTCATAGGATGCAACTAGATCAAGACAGTATTTTTGTACCAGCTGCAAATCAGGCTTCTTGCCTCCTTCACATTCAATCTGCAAGAGGCTGGTCAAAAACTGTCAGATTGACAGGACTGGTGATTGAATTCCTCTCTTTATCCTAAGGCTACCAAGAGGAAAAACTTCCTCCATCCATGCTCTGGCCTTTAGGAACCCCAGCTAGGGCTGAGACTTCAGTCTTCATCAGAAATAGGTTACATATGGGTAACTAAATGCACCAGTTAACACTTGTGTTTCTCTACAGACTTGAAAGGTTTTATTGTACCTGAGGTAAAAGAGTGGAATAAAATGTGAAAAAATCAGTCCTGAGTATAGAAAATACAGAGGAAAGTTTTGAAAAAATAAAAATAATCAGGTAAGGCAGCAAACACATCTCTGCTAAATTGGGTCCCTGCAACCCAGACTATTCTAGCAACCTGGTGTGAGATTTCACACCTTCATTGCTGAAAACATCAGAAAACAAGATTTGCAAATTCCAATCACTGCCTCTATCTGCATTCCTACCCTTCTGTTCTGCAGCTGTCAAAATGGCCAACAATGATTACAAACCAATATGACAGCATTTGGCATAGGCTATAAAAGTCCTTTTGACGCTAATAACAATAAAGCTCAAGTTTGATACAGACTGTTTGCTATTAGGTACTTCAGCCAACTTGGTTTAGGCCACAAGCAGAAGGTCATATCTTTAGTTACTGTACTTGCTTGCACTAGCTATGGGCATTGCCTATTATTACTGCAAGGCAAAGAAGACAACTGCTTATCTAGTAGTCAGCTTCTTAATTTTGATTGATTCTAAAAATCCAATTTTGATAAAGGATCACTTCCAGCTGTTTGTCCCTGACACTCCGCCTGGTCTTTTAGACCACGAGATGCTCCTGCTCCCAGCCATCGGTGTCCTGCAGCAGCACATTCTCTCTAGGCTGCAATGAGCAGCAGCATTTTATTAAGACACTCATTTCAGGATCTGAGGCTTCTGTTTCTTTCTGGTCATCCCCCATGACACCAAGAGAAAAGGCAACCAGACCCTGTCACTAAAACTCTAAAAGCACCTTAGCAAATCCCAAACTAGTAAAGGCAAAGTGTAAAGGTAAAAAAAAAAACTAAAAATAAGATGGTCTAAGAACAAATGCTGTAAGCTCCAACCAAAAAGTAACTGTATCAGTTTAGAAGACCTTTAATTCTGTAGCCCTTCCAGATCCAAGTCCTAACAGTTGTGCCTTTCACTTCAGATCCCATAAGGGATCCCAAAGCTCAATGGGCTGTTGCTTCCTGATGCTCCTTCCCTCATTTTCTCAGATCCCCTTCCAGTCAGATCCTAGCTTTGAGGATCCCTTTCCTGAGGTAGGAACAGGCAGTGTGCCTTTTGTTGAGATTTTTTATTCAGGAAATCTATCATGACCTATCCATCATCCATCACAATTGAATCTTAAGTAGCCCTGATTGTTTTTCAAAAGCTGCTGGGACCTGGTCAATTGCTGTGATGTAGAAGCTGCAGAGGGCTCACATTCACTCAAGGAGGCTTTGCCTGAAGAGCCACTGTCTCTTTCCAGGGTCTCATGGTTTCTCTGTCAAGCCCCATTGCAATTACTTACACAATGTGTGCTGGTGATGCTGACAGAGCTGGAGATGAATGTTAGCCCGTTGTTCATGCTGACTTGTAGGAAAACCACCCTAAAGCACAAACAGATACACTTATTTTTAGTGTCATATTTATACCCATTGTTACCTTTACTCTGGCTCTGTTTTAGCCATTGGCTCATGAACATGCACAGACAGCACATCCTGCTGAGTCAAGGCATTTTCATGGCTTCAAGTGTTTACCTGCATTTGTCTATCTGCTTGCCCAGGAGCTACCATTTTTATGTTGCCTTAATGGAGCTGGGGCATATGCTCTTTATTAAAAACCCTCCATTTCACCTGGGGCAAAGAGCACTAGGACAGTGAGCCATAACATAACATCTCAGACATTTACAATACTACCCTAGATAGCACAAGAAACTAAGACTTTTTTACATTTAGACCCTTTCTATAGCTTGACAAACCAGAATGTTTTCTTTCATTTCCAAGCAAATCCAGAATACTTGCACTGAGGTTAAGGGTAAAAACACTGAATTGACAGTGAAATTAGAGAGGAATATGGCCCTAGCCCCTAGCCATCCTCTAGTATCAGAGAAAGGGGGGAAAAATTGGGGGGGAAAAAGTAACAGACAAAACCCCACCAAACGAATTTCCCTCATGCACAAATAGAAAAGAGGAAGGAGGCATTCACCCTCAGCCCCAGTACAGGATTTAAGCAGCCCCAAGACCACCTAGGGGAAGGTAGGGCATTGTGCTATGTCTTTCAGGAACCTGCAGGACCAACACTAGACAGAGGAGGGCAAAATACAGGAAGCAACATCTACAACAGCAGCAAAGGAATTCAAATCAAACACTTTGTTTCAAACAAAAGTTGGCCTAGAATTTAATTACCTTTTGGTTTGACAAAAGAGGATACAGAAATAGAGGAAGAATCACTATTCTATGATATGGGGCTGTGGTCCAACAAGGCCTTTGGTTAAACTGTGCTAAAGACCCAACATTGAACAGACCTATGCTGGCTCATATTAGGAAAGGATTTGGCACAATCTGACACACAGATTTATTAGCTTGATACTTTAGACAAAATTCTGAGCCTTTGGCTCAGTGATGACATCCTCATCCAGAAGTCCACTTTCTCTTCACATGTACTGGAAAGCAATACTTACTGTCCAGCATCTTCTATCACTGGTGCAGGACAAAGTAAGTAAGTATCATGAACATAAGTCGGCTTTTCATCTGAAAAGAAATGAATATAACTATCAGGAATGAAAAACAGAAATGGTCCTGGAGAAGCACTGACACCAATAGGAACCACAGATCAGTATACTGGCAAGTACCAGTACTCCCCAATGGTGCTGATTACAACGCCAAGTACTAGGATGACCATTCATGCTGATGCCAACGTAATGTTATCAGGCTAGAGATATCACAGCCAAGAAATGGAAGCATATCTCTGCTCCTGACAGCAGTGATCAAGCCACATGAAAGTGAGGTTTGAGCAATATTCATCATGTGTATCTGAAAAGCACATGTACCTTCTATCCATACTGAATACTCTGACACCTTGGGTTACTCAAGGGGTCAAAAGTTTAGAGTTCAACTTTTGTCTTCCCACTTCCAAACACATACACATACAGAAGAAGCCAAGGCTGCACTGTTTGAGCCCAGCAAACAGGGAGGACAGAGATGGGGTAGAGCAGAAGTTGACAGATACTAGAGACAAAAACCCCCCATGGTTGGTTATATACAGGAGACAGGCAGAGAGGGGCCATGACTGATGTTACCATGAGGACCTACCCTGCACTAGTTGTGTCTCCTGTACCCAACCCCCCTCCTCTGTGGCAGCATCATCTGCAAATAGTCTAAGTTTTAAAGGGTTTGTTGCAGGCAAAGTCAAAAGAAAGGCCATGGTTGTTTTCCCACCATCTTGCATTCCACTGCTCCAAGAGTCAGCAGTATTAAATCTGTTGCTTTCAAAAGTCACATCCAGAAAGCCAAGTCCCATGAACACAGACAGGAGGCCCAGCAGTAATCCTGTAATGCCACTACACTTCGAGAGTATAAGCTGAGGCCCAAGAGCAGACCCATCACTGTAGCTTAGCTCTGAATGGCCAACAAAACAACTATGGTGCTAACCCAGAGAAAGACTGGTCCATAAGAGTCTAACCCAAGTGAATAACAGGTTGATTATTGTTTACTCTTTTTAGCTAGGAAAAAAATTACAGAAATAACAACAGATGTAAGAGATGTTCCTTCATGCTTCACCCACTCCAAGCACACCTGAAGACAAAACTCATTTCCCTACTGTGCTGGTTTGGGCTGAACTGGAGTTAACTTTCTTCACAGTGGCTAGTATAGGGCTATGTTTAGGATATGTGCATGGCACAGGGTTGATAAGGCAGAGATGTTGTTGCTGAGCAGAGCTTACATAGAGCCAAGGCCTTTTCTGCTTCCCATACTGCCACACTGGCAAGGAAGTTGGGGGTGCATGGGAGATTGGGAGGAGACATAGCTGGGACAGGTGACCCAAACTGACCAAAAGGATATTCCATACCATATGACATCATGCTCAGTATATAAAATGGGAAGAAGGAGGAGGAAGGGAGACACGTTTGAAGTGATGGAGGTTATCTTTCCAAGGAACCCTTACACGTGATGGGCCCTGCTCTCCTGGAGATGGCTGAACACCTCCTGCCTGTGGGAAGCAGTGAATTAATTTCTTGTTTTGCTCTGCTTATGTATGCAGCTTTTGCTTTCTCTGTTGAACTGTTTTTACCTCAACCCATGAGTTTTTTTAGCTTTTAGCCTTCTGATTCTCTCCCCCATCCTGCTGGTGGGGGAGTGAGCAAGCGGCTGCGTGGTGTTCAGTGGCTGGCTGGGGTTAAACCATGACACCTGCCTTGGCAGTGATGAGGCCATGGAAATTATAGTGGTATGTTTTACGGCCAGCCTAAGGACAAAAAGCCAGCCAGCATAGATCAGTATCTCATCACAACATCTGTTGCAGAGCTAACTCGAGTTAAACACAGCATGGAGTTGGAATGGAATCAGGGTAGATTTCCTCCTGCCTATTTCCTAGCCCAGGACAGCACTCACTGTGCGAAGTTCAGTCAAGGTGCTAGTAGATTAGGGACAAGGACGAAAAGGCAAATAGTCTGTTGAACAGATAAACCACAAGAAACAAATCCCTGGCAAAAGGCATCTGTAAGTGGAATAAGAGCAAGACCACCAGGGTTGATTTAATGCAGTGTCCACATAGGCAACTAGGATGGGAAAAGAAGGAGCGATTCATGTACTTCCTCTTTTAAGTGAATTCACTGCTAGGGAAGGCACCAGTCTGGCCACGACACGATATGAAAGCCTCTACTGTGCTCAGCCAACAAGGGTAGTATATACAGAAAAGGAGCAAAGCTCCCCTCCCCACACCATGCTTCACCCTGCCAGACATACAGGGCTTCTCAGGAATAAGAGAGGACTGCTGAGAAACTGGACACTCAACCTTCTTTGGCCATTCAGTCCTTTGCCTGGCTGCTGAGACAGCACACAAAAGACCCTGTTCAGCACAGCAATGACAAGGAGTTTCCATGTTACACACTCTCTGCAATGAGACCAGCAACTGGCATCAGAGAAGAACAGAGCAGGCCTGGAAGGGTCTGGCTTTATGGCAAGTGTGTCCTGAAGGACTCTGAATATATAATCAGGGGATCAAGATAACATTATTTCTTTTTGTTGGGAGGGAACAGTAAGCAATTGTAATTCTCTGTCTTAAAACCTGATGCCCAGTCCTCTCTGGCTGTATGTGTGACCCATATGCATCACTACAATGATGCTGAACTTCATTGTGCAGCAGCATGCCCCAGGGAAGCACTCACAGCACAACACAATGCCCACAGGTCACATGATTGAGTAAGGATGAATTTCAAGCTACTTTTAGGTGTAGATATCTACCTAACTCCTCCCCACATCTGCTACAAGGACTCCCCTCAACACGGCTAAGAGTTGGCCTATGTCCCATGAGGTGACACAGTCACAGGGGCCACTGGGATCCAGCAGGCTGTAAACTTACTGATAGTAAGGCTGTCATTGAGCTTGAAGCTGCAGAGTACCTGGTCGATATTTCTTGCATGATAAAAGCCGTTGCCTCTTACCACAACTTGAAAAGATTCTGAAAGGAAAAATAAAGATTATTAATGAAAAATAACTCAAATACAGCATTTCTGTTCAGAGTCACCTGAATCACAACATGACAATGTCTGTTCTCTGCCCTAAGACCAAACCAAAACATTCAAACTGACACTCTTCCTATTCAGCAGCAATGGCCAATAGTGCTGGAGTGGCATTAATGCTTCACAGAGTCTTCTCTTTGTCTCAAGTTGGCTCTCACAAGCACAAAACAGATCCCCAATGCCTTAAAGGTGCCACAGCAAACATCTGACTTGACTGATGTTACCTCATGGTTCCACCACAGCTTTTGGGACAGATGCCTCTGCTAACCATAAGCACTGGTCCTTCCTCCTAGCTTCCTGGCAGATGGCACTAGGCTTTCAGCAGCAGCTCTATTTGGGCAGATGCTGACAGACAGGACTCCCCTCCTAAAACCACTGTGAATCAGACAGAAAGCTTTGCATCTGGTACAAAACCTGGAAAAACACAGTCCTCCTGCCTATACAAAAACTGAGTCCATGCACAGCCCCACTAGCACTTGTCCTGCGTCGGAATATCTAAGGACCCAGACTCTGCTATTTTTTTGGGCTCTTCCCCCACATCCCTGCCCCAGTAGCTGAAACCACCAGTGGCACAAGAAGAGACCTACCACAACTTCTGTTTGCTTTAGTTTTGATAAGGAAGGTACCTGTGATTTCTATCATTATTGTGATAAGTAACTATGATTTGTTCATTTAAGCAGGGTTAGGGTTGGTTCTTGGGGGATTTTTTTTTGCAAACTTTTCAATAGTCTTTCTACTGACAGAGGAGTTCTGTATTTGACCAAAGCCAATCTAGGAAGGGTGCTGTCAGATGTGAGATCCCAGCTGCACGTCCTCCACTGTTGACACCAGTGATCGTGTTGCAGTGCACAGACCTTGCTCACACACCTGGAAAATAACTGTTTGTTGCCAGAGAGATCAGTAAGGTGACTTGCCTGGCTGAGCATCTGCTGGAATTAGCATGCAGGAGAAGAGAAGGAATAGAGACAAGCAGTGGTAACACCAGCTGAGTGTCTATCATGAAAGCCCCTGGAGTCACCATGCCCAGTACAGTTAGAGAAAGGAAAGGTAACTTGAGGAAGAAAAGTATTAAGAAATCTGGCTTCGGTTTCTCAGCTTCTCCACAGCAAGCTTTGAAAGTTGTGTTTTGAAATAAACACAACTGCTGTTCTTCCCAGCCTTTGACTGTGCACAGGTGGAGCCCAACCCTGAGCTGCAGACCCCTTCCTCACTGGGTGAACTGCCAAGCTAGAAACAAGATGCACCAGGAAGGGAAGTGGCAAGAGAAACTTCCCTCTAGGGCAAAAATACGTTATGACTGGTACACTGACCACAGAGATAACACCTTTAATGCAGGCAAGTAGACATATTATGAATTTGTTCTGTCCCAAATGTATTTTTGAAACTCCCTTTGATGCTGCACACAATCATCCAGCTGACAGCTGAGATCCCTGTCACACAGCAAGGCAAAGTACAGGAGTTGCACTTTCACACATAAATCTCCAGCTTTAGCTGAATCCTCCACAGGGCTCTTACATCAGCCTCTGAGCAGCACTTGAGACCAGTCCAACAGAAGGGGAATACCAGCACAACACAAGATCAATTAATCTTCAAGCTTCACATAGAAAAATAGGAATAAACTACATAGTTCTCCACTAGCAGCAATCATTAACAAGTCCACTTGCACTATCATTTACACTTTGACCAACATACTAAAAAGGAGAGCAAAGCAATGCTGAAAGGATTGAGGGGAGTAGTACATGATTTTTAGTGATAAGAGATTTGGTTTTTAATAACATTTCATACAATGTACTGCCATGTCATTTGCATGCTTTGGAGGAAGGAACTGTTATAGGACAACACTACATGAGGCCCAAAGGTGGCTGAAATACATATTCAGATTCATCTCTCTGCTTTTCATTATCATGTTACTGCAAGGCAAGTCAGCATGAGGATGTGGAGTGCTTTAACTTTTCCATACACACAACTTGCTCTTGCCAAAAACACTCCCTCATTGCCATTCTCATTGCATTGAGGCCTAATGCAACTTCAGGTGAACTGGACAAGGGCATAGACAAATTATCATCAAACACTGGAAACTCACACCCTTGTTTTCATCATGGTAACTTGCCCTTAGAGCAGAGCTCTGAACTGACACAGGCTGCAAGGCACATGGGAAGCAGAGAAGGTATTTTGGGAGAAGATAAAGAAAATATCTACTGGAGTGCATATTTAAATGAAACACATTTGGCACCTTGCTGAAGGAAGGTGACAAAATTCGAGACCTCACTGAGCACACCAAGAGCCAAATGCACAAGTCCAGCATCAGAATTTGGCATCTTCATAGCATCTTTTTTATGGGAAGGGTTATACCTCCTGATTCTCACTGGGGATGGAGGGCACTTCTTAAAACAAATTAAAATGGACTGTAGGGCAGATTCCTCTACTTCTTACTCCAGTAAGAATCTTGAGTTACTCTTAGTCAGATTCATGCCTTGAGCCATTCCACATCTAACCCAGTTGATATACTGAGAGTTATTCTTGATGAGCATCCCTTTTTTTGCCAGCAGAGCTGAGAGTCATGGCCAGCCCTGAGGGCAACTGAGCCTCTGCTCACCCACCAGAATTACCTGCCTAGGACCACACATTGCCAGGCTTGCTTGTAGCCAGCCCACTCCACAGTGACTTCAACATCCAGCCAAGATGGTAATTTCTTTCCGCCCTCAATTTTATATTGTAAAAGCAGTTTGCTGAAACAAAACTGCACTTAGATTTTTTCCTGTTTTCTGAACTAATGGTCTTAAAAGGCAGCAACCACAAAGGCTTAACTGGTAGTTGTTTCAGTGGCTTTAAAAAGATGCAGCAAGTAAGAAACTTTCAAGACAAGACATCAGAGGTAAAAGCTACATCTAGAAGTTTAGCCTTGTCAAGACAGTTTACCTCTCCTGCCCTTCTTTTCACTGTGACTGCCACTCTGCAGAGTCAGTTTTGAACAAGTGACTGGGTAGTAACCTGTCCACCAACACAAGCTGACAATATTCCAGACTTGCAGGGAAACGTAAACAGCTGGTACTGGATTTGGTGCTGTTGTTAAGCCCATCCCTTCGCTTGCTCCGGAGCATTAACGTGCTCTGGATGATGGTCTGTTGAAATGGCTAATTCCATTTAATTTTGCGCCCTGGCTCTGGCTGCGTCCTTTTCTTCCTTCGTTACTGTCAGATCGTAGATTGTAGCTTTTGACAAGACAGCGAAGGGAAAAAGGTCAGCACTGAAATAACCGGGCGGCGCTGGCAGCGAGATGGTAGGTTGAAGCTGGTGTGCGCTGGCTGCGCTGTCGGCTTCGCTTCTCTGCCTCTGATGAGAAGCTGACTGCTTGCATCCACACCTGGTAGTTGATGTGGCCAGTAGGATGCCACATCCAACAAAACCTTTCAATCACATCTGCGTACCGTAAACATAATCAAAGCAATGATGCTGTCAAACAGGATATGAGGCACCTCCGATTCTGCACTGATAGCCTGTTTACAGGCTGCATGTCTTGGTCAGTTTAAATCAGAGGGAACAGGAAGGACCCAACTACATTGCTCCACATTGGGGATGATGAATTTGCAGGGTCAAAAAACATTAAGCATCAGATAGCTGTCACAATATGACGAGATCAATTTGTAAATGGACTTGCCAGATAGCTTCGTCACAGGGAGCCAGAGTCCCAACTGGAATTGTCACCACATGGAAATCGTTCCATCAGCATTTTGCTAAACCTCTGGCAACTCAAAAACGAAGCCAAGATCACCAGTAATCACCAATACGTTAATAATGATGAGAGCAGTTACAAGGAGTGGGTCAGACTGGTCATGAGTGGCTTACACTGAGCCACGCAAACCCTAATGATCTCACACCAGATTTTAGAAATTATTAGCAATGCTAAATAAAAAGTAAACCAGTTATCATCTCCTCACTCAGGTAAGTTTCACATAAAAAGCACAGAGCCACATTTTAAGGCTGTAAACAGGCAAGCATCTTTGCTGGATAAGGTAATAATATATTACATTATTTCCAAAGTCTACTATTTTCCAATCATAATTTTGAAATATAAATTTCCATTACATATTTAAAAAAACCAAAACAAAACAACAACAAAACAAAATTTCTAACTTAGAAAAAAAGGGGAAGGAATGTTGAATTTCTAGAAAATGTTATGGTCTAATTTTCAGTCAGTGTGTATATACACCATGCAAGAATATATGTATTTTTTGATACAGGATTTAATGGCTATATACCTTTAATTATACATTATCAGTAAACTATAGTAATTACCTAAATTTGAAAAGCATTAAAGTTCTGACATTATTTCATAGGCTTCAGTATTTTTTGCACTGAAGTCCAAATGACGTACATTAAAAAAATAAATCCATTACACATAGAGTAGAACTATAACTGATTGCCTGGTGAACTGGATTCAGGATCTGGATTCACACAACCATGAAATGATTTGTTAAATCCCAGGAGATTCCTTCCAGGAGACAGTGGTGCACACAGCTGTACAGATGAACCCCTGGCTATGCTGAAGCGAGTTGTATAATAAAGGATAATAAAGCCAAGCACAAATGTTAGTATTTGTAGTCTCATGCTGTAAAACCTCTTGCAGGAGTTCATTTCAGCGATGGCCTGCAGGACTAGAAGCACCATGCTCCACCATGTGCCATCCCTTGCCCTGCCAACAGGGACAGAACAAACCTCAGACTATAAGTGAAACTAGTGCTAGTATGTTGCTGAATCAGCAGCAATACAAAGAAACTGATTCTGCCCAATTTGTATTGGTCTTACATGAAAGCCATGAAAACAACAAAAAGCTTTTACAAACTTAAGTAAGGCAAGAATACTGTGGGTTTTTTTAAGGGCAAACTATTTTTAAAGTGTACTTGCCAATTTTTAATCACATTTGTAATAAACTAGTTACCTAGTAAAGTCTGGTAAAAAAATTAAGTGGTTTGAACTCATTATCCTTTGGGGAAAAAAAACCCTACCTTTACTCTTTTTCCTGAAATACGTTAATTTTTGAAAAGAAAATGTTTACTTGAAAATTTATTTTCTCAATTACTCCAAAAAATATTTTCAATTCTCCATTTAAAAAAAAAAAAATGACTTCAGGTTCAACTTTCTAATACTTTTAACATTGTTCCAAACAATTACAACAATACTACTGAAATCTCTCCTATTGGAACACTCACGTTTTCATGTAGCTAAGTGAATTTTTGTTGAACAGGAAAGATTGCAACAAGGTGTTTCACAAAAAATTGCCAGGTATAAGCAAGCAAAAATAGGAAAGAATTTATCTCTGTGAAATAAAGACAGCTTTAATGTCAAAGCTTTAAAACTGGGTGGGTTTTTTAATCAGCTCCACAAGACTTTTAAAAGTAAAATCATTCCTTTTTTAGATTTTCCACAGATAAGATTTTACCACAAGTATCTACTCCACAATTATATACTTAGGAGTAATTCAAATGATAAAAGGATATTTCACTTTAAATTGAAATATATAGGGCAGGATCATATTGCGATCGGCATGTGGAAATGGAGAGTGAACAATTTCTCTTCCCTGTGATATTTATCAGATTTTTCCTGAGTTTTCTATTTTTATCTGTTTTCAAGGTCAGCGTTCATGCATCATTGCTATTTTATTTTTATGTGCTCATTTTTACACTGTATAAGGAAATGAATACAAGACAGTAACACCAGAGCTAAATACCCATGCTATAAACTGTACCTTCCAGCAAACTTATGGTGTCACTCTTACTCTACTGCAATAGCCTCTTAAGTAGACAAAAACACAGCAAGAGAATTGCTAACATAAACCAGAACAAATCCAAGTTAAATATACTAGACATGAAAGGCATGAAATTATCAACAGCTCCTCTGGGTATCCTCCATGTTTACCATACAGACTAATGGTTCTTTCACTGCAAACAAATAAAACATCAATAGTTTGTAAAACACAAGAGGTATCTTGGCTTCTGCAGTAAATTATATTTGCGTCAATAAACCTGAAATTTCTGTAAATGTTTTGCAAAATCTTGTTCTAAGTGCTGACAAGTCCTAACGGATCCCACGAACACAGTCTGTCCAGAAATTTGTGGGATGTTGTCTTTAGACCCTGAACCACCTCTGTCAGTCTGGCTTTACATCACTTTTGTTGTCTCTCTCTCTCAGATTTTTAAAAAGTGGCACCCCCAACTCCCTGAGTGCTACCTCTGTCAACTATCCAAGCTGGTACTCAGTCACAGCATCTACATGTTTATTGGCACAATGTATTTCTCAAGGTGAGAAGGAACATGCAGTGCTTTAGCCATGGCCTGAGAGGATGCTCTAACACATCCAAGGGCTTCAGCTCCAATACCACATTAGCTAGTTACTGACATTTCATCAGTGTCATTCATTTCCCTTTTCACACTGTTCTTGTGGAAACTTACCTCCTGCACAAACACTGGATGGTTCAGCCGCTAGGATCTCAATGCAAGATTTCTTGAGAATCTAAAAGATTAAGATAATGGCATTTTTGGTAAACTATTTTTATCTATGCTTTATTAATGCAGCAAAGGGTGCCCTTTTCTGGGTTTCAGAATATCCAACTTACTGAATCAATGGTTCCTCTCAGGGCATAAAAGCCTCCCTTAACTGGAAAAACATGATCGATGCTGTCAGCAATCGTTGACAGCTGCAAAGAAAGACAATCATAAATCATGAGGAAAACAAATTTACAGTGAACAAAACCAGGCCCTTTCATACTTGCTAAAAGACATCATAGTGACACGAAATGATTTATGCCTCAAGTAATTAAATAAATGCCTTCATCTGATGCTGCTACTTGTGCAGTAGTATAACAGAAAAACAAAACAAGAAGAAAGCAAAGTTACCTGGGTTTCATTGAAATCTTTCACTCCAACACAATAAACAATAGCTCCAAAGCTTCTGGCTCTGTTGGCCTAAAAAAAACATTGTCATTAAGTGCAAATGCATATAATCAGTGGAGCTGGCAGTGAATGCCTACAAGTCTGATACAAGGTAGTTTGGATAAACATGAAGGTGACTTACTTCTTGTTCTGCATAATAAAACTGAACGTCTTGCAGCTCTCCATCCGTCAGAGCAATAATCACACTAGCAGTCCGAACTCCTGCATGGAGGACAGTTAACAGATTGCAGTCTGACCATAAGGTCAGACTCACAGCCTGATTTGTATGGACTTGGTGATCTGCCAGCTGAAGGCCAAATGCAAAGCACACAGTAAGCCTGTGCACCTTCATATCACTAACATCACTGCAGAGGGAGTACTGCTCCAGCAAAGCCCATGCACAGACTTTTCTGTTCTGTATAGCACCTACCAAGATTACATCTAGACCTTTCACATGGAGGACTTAAAAAATGGATCTGCAGAGAAGGAGAAATTTCCTCTCTTCTCTTGACAAACTTGTCTCTAGATGAATCTTGTCAAGAGATGTGGTAAGAGATACCTCTGCAAAAGTAGTTTTCCTGCTATCCTACCTTCCTCTTCATCAGACTTTCAAAGAGCAGCCTCACTGAACATGGCATGAAATGAGTTTCTACAAGGGAGTTAGTCCTATACTTCTCAAGCAACAAGAATTTCCACCGAAATTCATAGGAATTCTAAGCATGTGAAAACCTTAAGATCAGGTTCATTACAGAAAATTCATGTCTTGTGATATTTCATATCCCATCTAAGCTTAAATGAAAAGGTTGTGCAGACTGCAGATATCTATATAGGTAATGCAGTATAGAATACCATGTACATAGAAAAATGAAACATGTTAACAAAATTAAACTGGATTAACGTGCAAACTATGGTTCAACCAACTGTTCTGAGTCCACAGTTCTTAAGCAAAGTAACTAATACACATACATGTTACTTTCAGAGAAGTATTTGTTATTTTTTCAAAACAATCTGTTACAATTTCAAGTGTCTTCCCCCATACTGTCAGAAATTAAAGTCTGATTACTTCTGACAGGTTTCTTATGCCACGCAGTTGTCCCCATGTCATGTCAGACACAGACATACATCTTAAAAAAATGAACTGCAACTTGCAGGGAAAAAATAGCTTAGATTCCGACTCCTTTTTCTTTCTTCTGCCCAGCATGCTTGAAAAAGGCTGGAAAAAACTGAGATTTTTTTTCTTTTTTTACTTTTTAACACTTTTTCTTCCCTGAAAATTTAGCTTATAAATCCAGATCTCATCTACTCCTTTTTCCTTCCTAATCAGCTTGCAGAACAGTTTATTAGTTCATAGCTATATGCTACAATAAGGTAAAAGTTTTCAGTTGGGCACTACAGGACTCCTGATTTTGATGGCAGAAGTGCCTGAGACACCACACAGAGCTGCTGAAGACTCTACACTCATATCCTATACTAATGAAAAGGCACTGTGACCTGTTTCTCCATCTTCCAAAGAGACCATCAGCCCAAAAATGAGAACAACCTTACACCACGACATGAACCAGGCAAGAAGTGTTCAGCATAATTAATTAGGCACAGAAAAAACCCCACAAATATGCTTTCCTCTCAAAATTTAGTCAAAATTTACATTTTAACAACTCGGAACCCAATTCCAAATCATTCACACTGATGCAAAAACCTCAGCTGATTGCATTCATAACTACACTAGTAAGAATGAGGACATGGGAACACAAAGCAGACAGGTTTGAGTGCATCAGGACAGAAGGGCACAGGAAAATCTGGCTATTTCTGTCCTCTGGGTACAGGATGGGCAGCTTTGGCTGTAATGGCTTGGTCTGTGTTCAGCACTGGTCAGATCTGGGATCACCCTGGTCTTCTCTGGTCTTAATAAACCATGAATCACACATTTAAAAGTAGTCAAAATGGAAGGCAGCATTGCATAACACCAATGCCTTCTCCAATACTTCTTTCAGTGGGTTTACTGCAGGTCATAAATGAACTACATCCCCTGTCTTTTCAATGCAGATATTTAACATGAACAATATACAACACATACCTCCATAGGTTTCATGGTAAATTTGCTCATTTGCCTGTAATGAAGTGTAGAACATTGTTAGCTCTTAAGTACACCAGCAGCAAGCAAGCAAAGTTTATATCTATAAAACAAAGAAAGTAGGTACTGTGATGTGTACCCTTTTAAATCCTTCATGCATGAAAGTGTCTCCTCCAGGCACTTCATCCTGAAGTATGTCGAGCCCTCGTCTTATGGCTTCCCTTTGGATTGAAAAAAACACAAACAGCAAAACAGGGGAACATTTTATTAAAAGTTCTTTCAGGTTTTGTTGAGATATTCCTGTACCACAGCTAGATTATGCACCCTGTCAACACATTGCACAGGGTGCACACATATCAACTAAAACACTGGTTAAACCATGACTTTTTTAAAACCCACCAATTTCTCAGCCAAATATCCATGGGAGCACAAAACCAGGCATATGGTATAGCGTTAGAATAATGTATTTTAAGGATCCAATTGTTCCTGCTCCCTCATTTTGGTATACTCTCAGTCAGGGTAAGATTGAATTAAGACAAATGCCAGATATTAAACTTTGACAAACTGCAGACCAAAAGAGAGTTTAAAAGCTTGTGACCCTGTCACAAAAATGGGACAAATTAAAACTCCATATTCAGTCAGTCATCAGGACAGTTAGGATTAGGACTTTTCCATTATAAAGACAGAGGCCAACAGATAAGAGCACAAGATGGGAATGATGAAAATTTCCCAGCCTAGACAAGGACTGATCACCCTTCCTGGGGCATGGATTACTCCCTGGAGAAAGAAGAACTGGGATACCATGAACCCTGTTGCACAGCTTCTTACTCCATAAATACCTATTAACCAAGAGGATTGCTCAGGGAAAAAAAAAATCATTTAAGCAATCACTGATTACTAAAAGACCCTGATCCTTGGCAAGTGTTCATTATATTAATGGAACACAAATAAGGCATAAATATTCAACAGATAAGATGTAGGCAGTTCAAACATCAGCTCTGGGCACCATGGGGCATCCTTTCTTTAAAACAATAGCAAGAATCTCTCTAAGCTCCACTTTGCAACTGGGAATTTGAGGTGGGATAACCCCAGTCACAGAGAATACAGGAACCTATGGGGGAGGAAGGTAAAAATGAGGAGCTGGGATTAGGGCTGTCCTTAAGGCATAAAGCATATTTTTACCATTTCAAAGTAGAAAATGAGCTAAAAGGGCACATACAGTGATCCATACAGAGAACAGGGGTTTAGGAAGGGGGACACTCTAATACCATGTTCAATGTATTGCCACAGGGTACCTGACTACATTCCATATTGCAAAGGGCAAGTCCACCTGGGAAAAGTAATTAAGTTTGAGTTCTGTCACCAAGGTACATGATGGATACCTGAGCCAAAACTCAGGAGTCAGCAGAAATGCAAAAGCCCTGAAGGGTTTCTGGCTTTGGATGAGGCTCTGGAGTACAAAGTTGAGGGAGTGGTGGTTCTCTCAAGACTGCTCCAGAATCCCCATCATTTATAGGGTGCCCTGTACTACTGAGGCCCTCTCATACAGATAAGAGAAAAAGTGAGGGCTTTAAGCTGAAATGAAAGAAAATACTTATAAACACCACCATGACAGAGACTTGCAGGCATAAGGCAAATTAAATTTAAATTTTTTTGATTTATATTGTATTTTGGATTTTTTTTGTGGGTGTGGGTTATTTTAGGGGTTTGAGGCTTTTTTTTGTTTTGGGTTTTGTTTGGGGTTTTTTGTTTGTTTAAAAAAATTAATTGTGAAGGTGGCAACAAGAATTTTGCTCCAGCATCAGATTCTTTTTCTTACAAAGCCTGTCACTTGCTTTGCAGCCATCTCTGGCATGGGTGTGTCTGCAGGCAGCCCAGGAGAGGGGTGCAATAGCCTGGTGAGGTACTGCTCCAGCACGGGGTACAACTGGACGTTGGTGCAAAGTTCAGGGCTCTGAGTCACTTCAAATGGCACTGGGAGACTTTCATACAGTATTTTGCTCATCAGTTCCGGGTATGAGATCTCTTCCACAGAAACTGCCCTTATTTGGGAAGCTGGGGATAGCAAACATGTACCTGGATCCTGAACTGGAAACACAGTTTTTCCATGAAATACTGTGATAAAGAACAGACAGTGCAGTGCTGCCTTTCTCTTATATATAAGGCTGAAAGGAAAATGGCAATGGGAGACCCAAAGGCCTTCTAAGTCCTCTTCCAGTCCAGAATGGTGGAAAGGATTTCAGTTGGTACCACACCAAGGACCGAGACAGACCTCCAAATTCTGGTTTTGGGGCCACTCACTGTTTGAGAGGAGGGATGGAGGGTACTCCTGGATGAAAGCTGTGGTGAGTACTTGCCTGTTTTCTGTTAGTTTCATGATTGTAGTGCCTCGTGAAGAAAAAACAATGAAAGACATCCGCAACATCGGACTGAAACAGAAGAACAAGCCAGATCCAAGTCACAGACATCATCTCAGCAGATTTTCACTTGCTAAGAAGTACTGAACAAAAAAATAAATTATATACATAGCAAATTAAAATATCATCTTAAGAAAACTTTACCTTATGAACTTCTCAGCTAGGCTTTCCACAAAGGAGTAAATCTCAGTCCAATGATTTCTGACACTTCCAGATCTGCATAGAAAACAGATTACATCAATCTTACTTTGCAGTGAAATTCCTTGTTCCACTTTGACCTACTCCTTGTTCCACTCTGATCTACTCCAAAGGTGGTTAGGGATACATATTACATAGAGTTATGTTGGAAGCTGTTACAGGAACCATGAAGACAAAACCCACCAACTCAAAGACAAGTAGATAGAGGCCTGAAATTTCAGGTTTACCATACAATTTTGAAGCATGTGCAGTAACCATTTCATCTGCTTTTGTTCCTTTTATAGCATAAAATATAAATATTTTATTCTGGTTTAATTAATTTTATTTGACTTCAATAAATCATCTGCTAGCAGGTTATTTACTTTCCTAGAGCACAGCTCTGCCCTTGCAGCCACACAGAAAGTCCTGACTGATCTTCTATTCTCCCAGATTGCGTGGGAGAATATTTCCATGAATTACTGCTTGTTTCAAAAGAGAAAGCTTTTGAAGTAATTCAGAAGGGAAAGGCTGTACTCTTGGCTAATTTGCTGGACTAATGTTCTGGATAGTCAATCCTTGGCTCCATTACAGATATCTTATGAAAATTGGGCAACTTAGTTACATACACAGGCTTACACATTCATGCTGCCATTTCCATTATATAAAACTGTATTTCTGGCACTCTCTGACTTTTTTTCTGCATGGGACTCAGACCTCAAACAGAGCCTTACACAAAGCAACTCTACAGTGAATTATAGGCAATTTCTACCATGTTGTTGCGGTTTAACCCCAGCCAGCAGCTGTTGATCCATACCACACACTTTCAGGGCATTAAAAAGGCTACAAAGCATGAAAAGTCAATGGTTCTAAAAGGCCTCCTTAGGACTGTGGTGTTTATGAAAGAATGACCCATTTGCTTTCCTTGCAAGACAAACTCATCTATCAGGTGTCTTAGCCAGAAAGTCGAATGAAACAATGGCACATACAGCAGAATCACAGAGATTTAGATGCAGAACTAACCAAAAGTTCTGAAATTTAACTACTATAAAGCAGTAGGTTTCGTCTAACTGCTGTTAGGCATTTTTCTATGTAAACATGAGAAAACAATTCTGTATTAAAATCCTCAGTTCTACTATGGGCTTTCTAAGTGACCCTGTACAAGTCACTCCTGCCCTTGTATGTCAGGTACAGAGCAGCTCACATATGCAATGCAGTATGGCACTGCCTGCCCTGCATCAGTGCTGCTGGAGTAGAGAAGAGCTAAGATAAAGGGACAAGGACCAAAAGAGTCTCCTGAAGTACATAAGCTAGAATAAGGTGGCTTGTGTAACCCTGTGCTTTCATGCTGCTCTTCTGGAAAACTGGTGATTCATTCACAGAATAACTGGTTATCGAAGAATGAAGAAATTGCCAGGCACTGAGGGAGGGTGACAAAACTGCAGGGACTGCTCAAACCAAGGGTCCACATCCTCTGCAGTCTCCAATTTATTTGTGCTATGCAACAAGATGTTCATCTATGTGTGAACAGCACCAATGAAAGGTGTTGCCACTATTACCAAATTAACCCTTTCCTCATCATTAAAAATATACTTCATAACTGATGTGAGGTGTATTACTTTAAAGAGTGTTTTTCCAAAAAGGATCTGAGGCAGTTCAACACCTATAGTTCTTCAGGATTATTCTGAAAGTTCCAGGCTAAACCTGGGAGTCACAGAGATTTTCCTTCAATCTATGCAAGATGTATTTACAGCTCCCAATTTTTTTACAATTCTTTCTCCCCTGGAGCTGACATTTTCAGTTTCATTCTGAGCTTGCCATCTAACTTAAATTCAATTCCTGCAATTTTCAGTGCAGTCAATTCCCTA